TTTTAGCAAACTTACACTGTTAAACAAATTATAATTCTTTAATATAAAAAATTATTACAGTACAGAAAAATAATAAATTGCAAAGAATGAGGTCAAAAATCAATTTACAATAATGGTGTCATCATTATGTTGGCAATTTAAGAAAAAAAATGTTTCCGCTGCGAGTGGGATTCGAACCCATGAAGGCAGAGCCCTTGGATCTTAAGTCCAACACCTTAACCACTCGGTCATCGCAGCAAATATCGCAACTTTTACTCCATTGCGGGAGGGGGAGGACGTAGCGTGCATTTGATTTCGGTGCACTCACACGTATTGTTGTTACATTTGACCAGCATTCTTCTCGAATTCGCAATCCTTGAATTACGAACCCAATGCGTTACCCGCTCAGCCAAATTGCTCCCCAGTGGTATAAGCACATTATAACATCTTAAATCAGAAAAAATTGACATTGTGATTTTTGATTTCGTATTACGTAACATTAATGCGTCAAGGTCACAATCAAGGTCACAATCAACGAAAAACTATTTGAAAAAGGGCATAAGCAAATTAGGAGAAATACAATGTTTTCTGTACTGTCACTGTAAAAACAATAAGAATACACTAAGAACAAAAACAATAGCTTACAAAAATAATAATGGTCTGCTGCTGCGGAAAAAGTCAATAACAATAATAACAATAAACAATAACAATAATAACAATAGCTGAGCGCTATGAAAAAAAAAATATAAAAAATGATTAAGAATAATAAATAATGATAATAACTACTAGGCCTATGCTTATTTTTTGTAAAACAGAACATAGGCCAAGCTTTTACTTCTTGCCATGAGAACTGACTTTGAAATCATAATAAAGTAAAAAATAAATTGTGATAAAAAATGATAATGAAGTAAAATAATATTATGAAGTTGAAAAAATGAATAATACAAAATAATTTTAAAAGTAAATGTTATAAAGAGAAAAATTATTATAGCATATATACAATTTACATTAATAATGGATAAAATTTACAATACAAAAAAAAAATATCGCACATTCAGACTAGTTTGATTTAAAAATAAACAAAAAAAAATTAGCAAACTTACACTGTTAAACAGATTATAATTCTTTAATATAAAAAATTATTACAGTACAGAAAAATAATAAATTGCAAAGAATGAGGTCAAAAATCAATTTACAATAATGGTGTCGTCATTATGTTGGCAATTTAAGAAAAAAAAATGTTTCCGCTGCGAGTGGGATTCGAACCCACGAAGGCAGAGCCCTTGGATCTTAAGTCCAACACCTTTACCACTCGGTCATCGCAGCAAATATCGCAACTTTTACTCCATTGCGGGAGGGGGAGGACGTGGCGTGCATTTGATTTCGGTGCACTCACACGTATTGTTTTTACATTTGACCAACGTTCTTCTCGAATTCGCAATCCTTGAATTACGAACCCAATGCGTTACCCGCTCAGCCAAATTGCTCCCCAGTGGTATAAGCACATTATAACATCTTAAATCAGAAAAACTTGACATTGTGATATTTGATTGCTGGATTTCGTATTACGTAACATTATTGCGTCAAGGTCACAATCAACGAAAAACTATTTGAAAAAAGGGCATAAGCAATCACAATAATTCATTATTAGACCTATAGTTGTTTTTTTGAATTGTACTCCACAAATCTCAGCCGATACCTCGCACAACTCGTTAACGTCTCGTATCTATTGTCGTGACGTCATGGCTCGCTGGCTTACACTTGTGATTTCTCGCACTTGTGATCAAATAACACGCTGGCTCGCACATTGGCAACTCTCTTTGGCAGTCAACTCGCCCCTAGAAAACCCGCCCTTGGAAACTTGCCCCATAAAAAAATGTACACTTCCTAGACCATGCAGTCTTCAAAATGAAAATTGTAACCTTTGGTAATCAACTACATTTTCCACATACATAGAAAATTTTGAAACTTTATTAAAAAAAACCTAAACCATAATTCACCACTATAGACACTTTTTGACAAAAATGAAAAAGTACGACTTCGTTACTCAATGAGAAGTGTTCTAATATAGACAATGGGTCGTGTCTCATATTATTTGTTATATTTTTACTATTCATTATTTTCACTTGACTCGCATAAATAATTTTGTTAGAAGAACATTTATATGCAGTTGTACTTCGCAGCACTTCATTTGCAATTTGCAATTTCTAGTTGTATTATTATTAGGCCTATTCGAGTTTTCTAGAAGGATGGGTTTAGCTCCGCGAGTGGGCGCTATAACAGATTTTTACCTCCGCCAACGAATACAGATACAGATACAGATATTGTCATAAAAAAAATCTTTCCTTATTGCAAATCTACTCCAGTATAAAAATAAATATAAATATATTGGAAAGCACATACGGTATCACAAAAACACATTCTACTTACAACATACATTATCTTAGTTTCTTCTTATTAAATTCAATAATTATTGCTGACGGCAGAAAAATTCCTAAACCTTCCGGTTTTACTATTCGGCATTCTAATTCGTCCGTATTTATTAACCATTATAAGGTCACAAGCAACGAAAAAAATAATTTTCTTGTTTTAATCACAAACTTGTCAAACCTGGTTACAATGTTCCATGACCAAAGATCTCATTACCTCCGCCAACGAAGTTGGCGGGAGAAAGTTTTTGCCCCTGTTTATTTAATTATTTATTTATTTTTATATCTATTTGTTTGTCGGTTTGTTATGAACCGCGTACAGCCCATTGTTTCATAAGAAATTCGTCAAACTTGGCCACAATGTTCCTTTACCTGAGATCTAGAGCTGATTAAATTTTGAAGGGTAAGGGTCAAGGTCACAATCAAGGTCATAAACTATTTGAAAAACGGGATAAGCAAATCAGGAGAAATACAATATTTTCTCTACTGTCGCTGGAAAAACAATAAGAATACACTAAGAACAAAAACAATAGTTTAAAATAATGGTCTGCTGTTGCGAAAAAAGTCAATAACAATAATAACAATAAACAATAACATTACTAACAATAGCTGAGCTATGAAAAAAAATATATAAAAAATTATTAAAAATAATAAATAAATAAATGATAATAACTACTAGGCCTATGCTTACTTTTTGTTAAACAGAACATCGGCCTAGCTTTTACTTCTTGCCATGAGAAATGATTTTGAAATTATAAAGTAAAAAATTAATTGTGATAAAAAATGATAATGAATTAAAATAGTATTATGAAGTTGAAAAAAAAGAAGAAAAAATAAAGAAAAAAAAAAAAAACACAATGGAAACCTTCTCGTGGCGGTTGAGATTCGTGGAGAGTTTAATATTTTTAGTTCCTGTAGGCCTACCTTGAGTAATTTCATATTTGTTGAGGGCGAAAATATTTATAGTTTAAGTGTACACTGAATACATCAAATAAATAACAGTAAACCAAAACGTTCATAGAGTACGCTTATCGCTCCACTATTAAATAATAAAATTAATGATGATCATCCTTCAAATAAATATCGAATATTCGTGTGATATACATCCACAGTCTAGGCCTACATCTTTCACTTTGTATTCCAAAATTAATCGCCTTTGCCTTAGATTTAGACGAACGACTCTTTCCATCCTCCCTAGCTTATAATAAAAATAAAAAATATAATAATAAAAATACACCCCTTCCCCAAAATTGATAAATAAATAAATAAAAAAAAAACTAGGCCTATAATTATATTCGATATAACCAGGTGATACATTGTAAAATATGAACTTTCACCTTACTGCAATCGCTATAGAATAAGCTTTATTGACTAAAATGGGGTGTTACATTCTTCAAAGGGGGATATACAGAAATAATAAAATTACGTTATACGATAAACATTAACAACACATTAGCTGATTTGACCACAAAATAATTACAAAGATAGAATACTAAACGTATGTTTTTGGCTATTTAATTTTAGCATATGTAATTAATAATTCCATTTACAAAACATGTTTCCCCTCGTAAAAATTAGGCTGGCGCATACCTTCATTCCATACATATTTTCCGACCAACTTGTTTGATTAATAAGGAACACACTGTTTTTCGTAGCCATATTCTTCATAATTTTGGGATATTTTCACAATTTAGGCTGATTTTGTGATAGAAAATCGAGAGGTAATTGCATGTTTTTACTATTTAAAAATCTCTTAGGCTTTTTGGTTATAAGAAATATTGGACTGCGTACATTTGATTGAATAATGATGTTGACGATTGTTGAGCTGTGATACGAACAATACGTCGTTCGGTGAATGCCTCTGTTCTCTCAGGCCTCAGGTGCTGGAGTGACGTGTATGCATTGTACCGTCGTATCGTATGCGGATGTACCTAGGCCACAATTATACATATAAACAATTTTAGATCAGGTGTCATCCGCATTGTATTCTGTTTCAGTGGCCAGTTGTCATACCTTTCATTGGAGGTGGAAATATAATGGAAACCTCGCTCGATGTGTTGTCGTTTGCAGCATCAATGGTAGTAGAAACAGACGAAAGCAATGGTAAAGCCAACAGTGGTAGTGATGGTAAAGGTATTAGTATTGATTCAGCTTGCCAATATATTAAGCAATTAATGTTTGTGTATGTAGCTTTTCCCCCATTTACGGATGACGAGTGTGCCTGGACCACACAGCCTACATACGCCCCTAAAATTCAAGTCATACCTTGTTGTGGATCCAGGGTGTTTTTTTTTAGGCTGGTGTCGGTGTGTGGCATCGGGAAAACTGGACAATTTCTTACACAACAAATAATGTTGTTTTTTATAAAAAGAAACTAAAAACAAGATCGCTTTTATTTGCAATATATGCAAGGTAATTCAACAGAAGGACGCACATCTCCGCTCTCAAACATAGCGTGTGCGTACAGTCCTTTGATCTTTACTGTGGCATCGACAATCCAATACTAGTTTGCGAGTAAGTAGAACCCCTCATTTACGAACCCCGATTTTACGAATTCATTGTTGTCATAAATAAAGTTCCTATTTCATGCACAAAACACACACGCGTGTCAAGAATTAATCGTTAGGCATGTGCTGGAGTTTATTCACTCGGTCTTAGACGGTTTACTATATACACTATCAGCGATCTCTACTACAATACAAAACGCAGATAGTGAGCTTTGAATACACCGACATTCAACACAGCGATCAAACTTCATGTCTGCAGCCGTGAGAAAAGTTGTCCGCATATCGATAGGCGTATGATTTATTCATCTCTGAATACACCACCCTCATATCGAAATTTAATGAACCCCCTAATTATAAATGGATTTTATTTATCATAAAATAAGACACTGACATTGTCTTTATAATTTTATTTTTGCATTACATAAATGTAAACGTAGGTGAGAGCAATCGTATTGCATACGAAAAATAAAAGTCTAAGCGTTGTGTCTACAGCCAATCAGCGCTCTTCTTTTAAAAAGTTGTGAACCCCTGTCACCCTGGTTTCCGGGTTATTCTGTACAGGTGTTTACTTGACGCCACAAGCACATGGATCGAGTGAAAAACGTTGTTGCGTTACTCGCCCTGTTGGCGGTGCCCGCGGGGCTGTGTTTATTCGTAAGCTATAAGATAAGTCATATTATTGCCTGAGAAAGAGAGAATAAAGTTTGTATACACATTAACAAGTACAATATGCATAGTACTGTACATTATTATAATCTTTATTTTGAATTTCTTTCGAGCACAAGTTGGAGTTTTGGCTCCAATCCAACAAAATTTCAGTCCAGGCCTAGCCCAGCCCAGCCTAGCATAAAAATAAATAAATACATAGGAATTTCACACAACCCCGATTTTACCTACGAATGATTTTTACGAACGCCTCTGGGCCCGTCCCGTACGTAAATGAGGGGGTTCTACTGTACAGTCGTCAATTATTAGTCTATGCGTGCCGTACGTTTTATGGTGTTACTATTTTATTAATTTTGGGTATTTCGCAATGTCTGTTACATCTGATTTCTTTTGACTGCGAGCTTGTTAAATGCTTCTTTAAACTGCAATTTGATTTGTGAAAATTGACCAAGAAAAGGAAAAGTTTTAGCAATTAAAAATTTATGAATTTTATAAAATTTCATGTTCTTATGTAACATTAAAACTGTCATTTTAACAATGTTGGACTAAGGTGCACAAAACGAACATTTGAGTAGATACAGAACATTCATAAATTTTTTCTGCGACGCGAGTCTCATGAACGACAATACACAACAATATCGTTAAAATTAATGTTGAATATAATTTCAGTCTAATGTTAGTGCAAAATATCATTCGGCATTTTTAATCACCGCACGACGCGCGATTATTATGGCAACTAACACGCGCGTAGGTAATTTGTCACGTACGCTGACGGTTAATGGTCTGGTTGCTATGGTTTTTGTGACGTACAGCGTGTAGGGACGCACATGCGCCCAGAATATCGTTGCCAGAGTTATAACCTTTGATGTTCTGAGTTGTGCGTCCTTCTGTTGAATTGCCTTGATATATGTAAGCTGACAATATTTTAATATCAATTTTTTTTTTAATGCTAAAATATTTATGGTACTTTACGGACGTTGCAGAAGCTCTTAAAACGCATATTAATACAGGCAAGACAAGTAAATGGACTTTTTAAACCTGGGAACATGCACTTGTCTCACAAAATTATATGTTGTCCCATAAAAAAGGCACATGTTTTGTAAATTTTGTAAGACCTTAGCAACAGTATCCAAGGGGTGTGGCCTACTGGTGCAGAACAGTCCATTTTCACCTGTGTTGGCATACAAACATTTTGTTTACCGCAGTCAGTAGGCCTATTTCACTGCATGTTGAGCTTTTCACTGCCCTTTTTGTTTTTTGTCACCGGTGCCGCACAAAATCATATAACTACCAGTGTGTATATTAACTTACATCTAGTGTAATGGTCAGAATAAGAATGATTACTAATGGCTAAGCCTCACCCATTGATTATTGTTGCTATGTTCAGTAAGGTTCCATAAAACAATAATGTAAACATAGACATGTGCGTTTGTGTTTATTGGACATGCACATGGCATATCTAGGGGTGCTTACGCCCCCAAAAATTACTTGTACCCCTTCCCTAGTCATCCCCCAAAAATCACGGTCAAGTAGTTAAAAATCACCTAATGTCACCTTATTTTGCGAATTAGTGTCCCTCAACTGACCATCAAGCCCCCCTCACTTCACCTTCGCTCCCCTTCCCCATCAGCACCCTTATTTCCAGACTTCACTAATCAATTGATTGACATACGGTACTAGAAATGCCCATTATTAAACAATTTATTTAACCAATTTTTAAAAGTTGATCAGAGCATTATTGCATGTGAATTGTGATCAAGGAAATGACAAGTACATTTATGAATGTTTCCTTGTATTTTTATACATTCACTTTTATCGATGACAACAAAACAGTCTTGATTCTTGATTGTACAATCAGTGTGTTTGTATTGTTCAATATCATTGTCGAGACTCTACATATTTTCCCCCTAAAATAACCGATTTCTTCAAAATCAATTCTTGCCAAATAGAGTTATGTACTGTAGAGGTGGTTTGTGATACTATCCTCTACTGTATCTTCTATGAAATGGTGTTTTTTTGTTTTTTTTCACTCAGTTGAACAAAAGAATATAAAATTCATCAATGAAACTACTGTACTGTACATGGTTCAAAATAAATAAATAAAAAATCTTATGCATGGAAATTTAATATAATTTTAATAATATAATTTTAATGGTGAATGTGGACAGTGTACATAGGACTTAGTTAAATGTTTTCAATTTATATAATTAGAAAAAAATGCATACTTATTGTTAGAGATTTCAAGGCAGCGGCGGGCATAATAAAAATTTCCCTCTTTTTTTCTTTGTAACGGTTTAACGCTAATTTGCCAAAAATCAAATTTTGTTTTTATTCAAAATTTCATTATTGGCTAGCGTTGGATAAATTGCTAAACAAGATATAAAAAAAATCTTGCCTTAGCTTTGAGTACAAAACTCTCCTGTCTCTAGATATGGAATGAAAACATAAAAATACCTGAAATTATTTCATCTACATTCACAAATGTGAAGCAGGTGACTCACATTCTTGGTTGGTTTCTTTGCAATGTCTCTATAATTGTGTATTCTGTATTCCATTCTCGTTCCTTTTAAGAAATTTCTAATATTTTTCTATTGCTACTCTGTTAACTAGGGAATTGTTTTTGAATTAGAGATGCAAGTGTTCTAGCTCATAGCTGTCTCCCTCGTGGGTGATCCAGGTTAAGTTTAGTCTCTTTGTAGAATGCCTGACATGCCTATCCTACCTGCCGATTTTTAAAAACCTGTCTGAAAGGAAGTTCTATAGCTTCCAATTACTTCCGAATGCACTTAGTGTACAAAAGTAATTTTCACAAGGAAAAATATGCATTTTCAGGACATGCCTACAGTAGGCCTACCTACTGTATGTCAAACTAGTGGTACATTGCTGCTTTCACAGCTTATAGCGCGAGTACTGTAGATAACCTTCATCAACTGTCCACTGCATTCTCGATCTTTCAGTGAGGAAGGCTGCATTACTGGTGGTAGCCATGTTTCGCTGCACATTCATGTACCTGTCGATATTTCACTTACACCAGTGTTGACTAGATTAATTTTCTACTATTCAGCGAGTCTAATTTTTACACCATGTAGACTACACTTTATGTACAAACTGAATTGGAGGCATTACTGTAACTTCAAATGTAAACACATTTACTGTAATCAACACAACGTCTTGGAGCTCACTCAATATACAAACTTTATGTTATAGAACGACGAAGACACATTTACGTGCCAGTGCGTATTCCACGATGCGATGTATAACTGTGTAACATACACGATCTGTTTACAATACAGTATGGATTTGCATGGTTACAATACTGTCTGTAAGGCACAAATTTTAACTGGGAGGCTGAATGATTTAAATGAGGGGGAGGTAGCAGGGAACTAATTAGTTGATTTTAAACCACTTAAGTGTATTTTTGTTTTGCTTAGCAAAAAAATTTGGTGGGGTGGGGGGCAGGCACAACTTTTTTTTTTTAGGGACGTGCGTATAAAATATGTTGTTTGACAATATTAATTGCTAACAGGTAAAGTAGGTTGATAGCCTATTGCGTATTGTGCATTACCTTTACCCAATTCAATGTTGAACAATTTTTCTGCAGAAATTAATTAAAGCCATTGCAGTTTAGAAAAAACTCAAGTTGTAGTTGATGCGCCTTCATAACACTTTCCTGGTATTTGGTTCAAATTCTAGGCGACACTTTATTTATTCCTTGTTTCGCAAACTTATTTTTTTTTTAAATCGTTAGAAGAGGGCGGAAAAAAAAATTAAAATAAACTTAAGTTTTCTATGGTTTTGCCAAAAACATCCAGACGGAGTAGAAAATAAAAAATAACATTGTTGAATATAAACAGTGTACTAATGGGATGGTTAAATGCTTTAAATTTATAATTAGGTAGAGTGGAATATCTTATTTTTGGAGATTTCAACACAGTGGTGGGCGTAATAAAATATCGGCAA